TTTTCCGGATTATATTACCGATTACCTTTTGAAAGAGTTCAGTAGAGACCTTTGCACCTTTCACATTTGGCCTCAAATCATGTTTAACGAAAAATTTATGACGTAGGGTTATCTCACCAACTGGGAAGTTGAAAAGGGAATCTGGGATAGAGTTTTTTCAAAGGAGGTCATGAATGTATGTGAGATCGGGGACCGGCTTACTCGGGAAGAGGAAAAGAAATATAACAAACTATTTGACTTCCCTAGTGCGACCCGAAAAAAACCAGTCTTCTCATTACGGAACCATGTTTTGATCTGCCGAATATTCAAAAGGCTTACGATGAGATGATCTTTGAAGTTTACGAGTTTCAATCATATTGTCGCACAATTGGTATACTTGTTTGACTTTTTTTCAACAGAATTCGCGAGACCGACAATGGTGGGCATTTTAAATGTTTATTATGAATAGCTCCGTGGCTGTGCATACAAAACAATACATCCAGACTCTATAATGACAGACCGCATAGCCAGTCGGAATCACCGGATTGTGTTTTGGTGGTGGACTCGGGATATTCTTTTACCCATATTATACCTTTCGTCATGGGTCGACCGATATTTCCCGCTATTCGAAGGTGAGCACCAGCCATATTGAGGATGAATCATGTATTATTATTTTGAATTTCACCTATCTTTAATTCAGAATCAATATTGGAGGCAAATTATTGACCAATCACCTCAAAGAGATCGTATCGTTTCGGTAAGAGGGATTTACTGTATGTTAGGATCATTCAATGAACGATAATACAGGATTTCTGAATATTTCGTGTCACCTGTTCTTTAGATACTGGGATATGATGGATCAAACCTATGTGATGAATGAAGTGAAAGAATCGTGTTGTTATGTTTCTCAGGATTTTCTGGCTGATCTTGAAATCTGTCGGTGAGAAAGGGGTGGGAGGGTAAAGGAAGAAGGGTGAATGGAAGATTTATTTACAATGTGATTACGCGTTTTTGTGGACATCAATAATAACATAGAAGGAATACGAGAGATAATCCAATTCTACAAGAATATGTCCTTCCTGATTTCTCGAGAAATTCCAAGGGATTCATAAGGGTACCACGACATTTCGTTTTTCATATGATCCCGTGTTGCAACGTGTATTGAAAGAAGATTTCTTTGCGAAAAGGAGAAGAAAAGTGGAGGAGAGATGTATGATCAATCGGATGAACAGGTTTTGTACATGAATAACGAACGTTTTACCGTGCCCGAAATATTATTCAATCCGTCAGATATCGGTAAGTCCGATTAACACCATCTATGGTTTTATCCAAACAATCATCTTATCATCGTGATCTATTACAGGCATGAATCAAGCAGGAATTCCGGAGGTCATAGTGGAAGCAATTAATGCTACTCATCCTGGTATCTTTTGCTGTTATATTTTCTTGATTAAGGATATGTGATGTGCACGAAGCGAGGTAATTACGGCACGTGAACTTATCAAGTAAAGATCACGCGACTGAATTACTTCACACACCTCACGTAAAGTGAATTGGTTATCAGTAGATAGAAAAAGGATTATTGGTGGTAACTGACGATAGTCATCATTCAAAAATTTGAGTATAGAAATGTTTCCTTTTCCTGTAAATGATGTAGATTTACAAGGTTTATTTTACGGGAATATTGTGTTGGTCGGTGGCAATAGTTTGTTCTCCGGATACAAAGAGAGAGTGTAAGTAATTGGTCAGTTTGCACATTTCTTCCAATGTGTCGGACATGCACGTGTCATTCACGCATTTCTCTTACTAGTGAAAAAGATTTAAGAGTGCTTGCGCCATCAGAATTCGAAGTGAAAGTGGGAATTCCCGAAGAGTAAGAATCATGTCGTATGATCATTATTATTACCGTGATGAGTAATAACACCGGACTTTTCTCTTCTATAATAATAGTCCCATAACATATGCGTGGCATGGTGGGAGTAAATTTGCGGCCTCTCCGGAATTCAACGAGAGGTTGGTCACTCGATCCGAGTACATGGAGCATGGTAGTAACATTTGTCTCAAGAAATTTGGGTGGGGTGATGGTGAGATCGACGAATTATCTGAATGATCGAGTGAATAAGTTTGCTTGCTTGCATCCGAGGAGTCTAAGATAGTAGTAGTAGTAGTAGTAGTACAATTTAATTATACAATTAAATATCTATTCAAGCTAAACTAGTATGACCACATGATATAAATTTTCTCGGAAATAAAGATCGAGATCGTCCAACAATTCGTCACGCGAATTAATAACATGCGTGTATATGTAGGAATTTGAATGTGTTACATCATAAAGGTGTCACAATGTTTTTTTCAAATTGTCAAATTATCGTAATGCGACCTGGAAAACTCGGTTCTCGCGATTCACATCTTTTACATCGTCTTCTTGTTTTAACGTAACATGACCTCAACGTATACTTGCAAGTGGGGAAATTGTTCCGAGAGTTTCGAATCCATGATCTATCTTTGGCAACATATAGAACGTCATGTTGATAATTCCGAACCAAGGATTGTGCACTTTGTTGAAGACGAAGACGACGAGGGAGGGGAAGAAGAAGAAGGTGATCGGTCAAAATCTTGTAATTTTATGTGACAAATCACTTATTCTTCCTTACGAATAAATTTAGAAACTGCTATGGTGAGCGCACAAAAATCGTCGCCGTCGAATAAATCTTTAGAGAAATCTTCTGTTATTGTCCCTTCTCAACGAGAAATAAACACTGCGAGTGGATCGAATGATACTGCACAAACAACAAGCTTGCAAACAAATTCATTAAATAACTCTTCACGCCAAAACCCGGTCAATTCACTTTCTGATGTACAGCTGATACAAAAACAGTCATCGCAAATAGCTCAGGCTCGACAGAGGCTTGCGAATTCGCAGCCATCAAGATTCTCACAACACACTCAACAGCAGCTGCAATCACTTACCAATTCACGTTTGCAATCACTTGCCAATTCACAATTACAACAATCACTTGCCAATTCACAGTTACAACGGTCACTTGCCAATTCACAATTGCAATTGCAACATTCACTCGCCAATTCACAATTGCAACAGTCACAATTGCAACAGTCACTCGTCAATTCACAATTACAACAGTCACAATTGCAACAGTCACTCGTCAATTCACAATTGCAACAGTCGCTTGTCAATTCACAATTGCAACAATCACTTGCCAACACCATTTTGACCCCATCTCACTCGGGACAACTTTCTTCATTTAACACAGGAATGTTGTTGAGATCACTACAGAACAATCAACCACCGCAACCCATGCAACTGATAACGACCCCAACGCACTCACAGGTGACAACGCAACTATTAATTGAACAAGGAATGCAAAACCCCATTTATGGATTACATTATCAACAGATACAATCGATGGGTCCGATTCAGCCGTCAATACAATCCATTGGAGGAACGCGACAAGCAAATATTCTCTTGGACAACGCGTCCTCCAACTTAAATTCCATCGCCGAAAATGCCATGGTCGTTCGAAATCCTGTGGTAACAACATCGTCGATGGTATCTAACAATCGAAGTCCCATTTCTAGCACGAATAATAATAGGATTTCTATGAATTTACAAAATCAAGTGGCTGAGGTTGGAGGCTTGCGATCCGTCAATCCCGCTGTTCAACCATCTTTACAATCCTCTCAACTTATAAATCTTTTTCCTACCGTGGATCAAAATGATGGTAAAAATTGAAAAAAAAAAGTGAACGAAATAAGTCGGCTTTATTTTACGCATAAATTATTGGCATCATCGCATCTTAATTAATAATGTTAAAATGACTCGAAATCCGATGGTTGCCGTCTGATCAATGAGATCTGTTAAATAGTGATATAGAAGATACAACGAACTCTCGAATGAATACCTTAACTTATTAATTAAACAAAATGTGAATAGAAAATTGATGAAATTCACAAGTCAGGCATTCTCAAGATAACCTTCCCTTCATTTTTTACGTGTTGGTGCAATTTTCTAAATACATCACTGTTTGACCATCGTTGTGGAACTGGTTTTTTCCCGATGACAAAATAATAAATATCCCAGTCAGGAAAATCCAATAATTCGTCGTATTCTTGTAATTCTTGCTCGGAAAATTCGTGTAAATACTTTTGCGCAAAGGTTGAGAGTATCAGATCGGTTTCCAGAATACCTCTTTTACGTGATTGATAAATTAATCTCGACCGTTTCTGGTTGATCGTTTCGTTGGGACGTGAAATCTTTGGTAATCCCAATTCCTTGGGTTGTTGAGAAATCAAAGGTGATGATGGATTACTGTTGCCGTTTCTCGACGAAAGATTTCGAATGATGGTTGAAGGTGAATTAATCGGACCGACGAAAGATGCGACCAGCCGAACATTTTTAAAGATCGATTGGCGAGACATTTACAAGGTGCCACGGATCTTTGAATCCATGTACATATTTGTGTGTAACATGCAGTTAACACTGTGCAGACACGTGTTTACCAGAGCCCCGAGATTAAAAAACTTTACGCCCATAAAAGAGTACATACAGTATAATTGATGAAACCGATAATCCCAAGTCACAGGAATAATGCACACATACACAAAACTGCATACGAAATTTGACCTTTCCCTAGAAACCCAATTACAAATTTGATATTTGATATGATATCAACCACCTAATTAATATAAGCTCATTATTATTACTTCGTTTTTTTTTTTTTTTTGTTTTTTTTTGGTCCTTTCTTCTGTGGTAACCTTATCCGCGACTACAGCTCAAATGGGAAGTTACGAGGAAAACAACTATGATCCGGAAGAAACTGCGGGTTTATTATCGAGTTCTGAATCAGATAATAAAAAGGTTTGTGATCAACTTTGCGAACCATTTTCGGTTTGGGATCAGGGGAGTGCAATGGTCGCTGTGAAAAGGAATTTCTTGAAATTCCTCGTTCCGTCATCCAATTTATTTATTTATTTATTTATTTTTTAGACGAGGAGATATTTGTTATTAGTACTCCTTGGTGCGATTTTTGTCGCCTTTATAACCATAGGAATTGCCGCAGCGTGGACCGAATTAGCTTATGGTAAATATAACTCCAATATGTCTTTTTGCGAAAAAAATTTGTCACGTGAACAAAGGCTTATCATGTGATTTACTCTTTTAAGGACTACCAGTAAAACGTAATGTAATTCTAATGATCTCGGATGGCTTTGGTCCTGCGTCTGAAACATTCGCCCGTAATTATTATCAGTACGTCAAAGATTTGTCGTATGATTTCGTTACTCCACTGGACGAATTACTTGTCGGTTCGTCAAGGACCAGATCTTCCAATAGTCTCGTCACCGATTCCGCCGCAGGTGCGACAGCTTTCTCTTGCATCTTAAAAACGTATAACGGTGCTATCGGAGGTACGTTCATCGAGAAGCAATAATAATAATCTTTTTTTAATCAGCTGTTGACATTTCTTAAATCGTTACAGTGGATCCTGAAAGATCTCCGTGTGGCACCATTCTTGAAGCTGCAAAAGAATTGGGAATGGCGACAGGATTGGTTGTAACAAGTAGGATTACTCATGCAACCCCTGCTTCATTTTCGGCTCATACTGTTTCCAGGGACTTGGAGTACATCATCGCCACTCAACAGATTGGGGATTATCCCTTGGGACGACGAGTTGATTTGATGTTAGGTGGCGGAAGGTGCTATTTCCT